TGGACATATCGAATAGTTCAAACATATATCGAAAACAGTTAAAAATACGTTAAACGTGAACCTTTAAAAAGACGTCTAACTCGCATTTTTTTAAACAAAAAATCAATTATTTCATTAACATTTATTATTTTTGCGATACAAATTTCTCAATATAATTTTAATTTTGAAATTTTACATCCGAAAAAGTCATATCTCATGTAAATTTTTAGATGTAAAATCACATGGAGTGTGATTTTTTTGGACGTAAATTTTCGATTGTAAAAATTCTACCAACTTTTTTACAAGTTCGATTGTGCCCTCAAAGTTAAAGTTCTGCGTCCACCCCTGCCCACGAGTGTACCAAGGTATACAAATAGCAAAATCCAAGAAAATTCAGTAAAGCGATGCTTATGCTAACATGAGCCGTTGGATGACACGCCACAAACTGAACTTCGTTTTTATTCGTTTTATCCTTCATTTGCCCTTGCCCTATTTCACCACCTTTGTTTCCTCTGCACCTGCAAGCACTCGATCAAAAGGATTTCTTCGCGCCTCTCTCTATGACTCACCATCTCGCTATGGCTGACAGCACTGAGTTCGATTCCCGCCCTAACCAGATCTCCAAAGGTCATTTTCCCCACATATGTTTTCGCTCTTAATAAATTGACTAATTTATTAAAATATCAGGTTCTTAAGTTTTTCCTTTCTGAATTTGATTACGAAATGTGGTTTTGAGTTTTGTTATTATTGTTTTTTTTTAAAAACCATGGAATAATGCTGCTTGTGTTCTTCAGCCGGTGGTCTTAGTGCGGGTTTAGGGTTTCAGTACTGTTGATAAAATTTTTTTTTTTTTTTAAATTTGATTAAATAGTTAAATGTCCGAATTTAGAGAGTATTCTTCAACGTTTTTCTTGCATTTCGTCTGGTGTACTTTTTTTTGTTTTTATGTATACCATATTTGGAAATTTTTATTTCTTGGTTTTGATGTCTTTTGTATATATATGGTTATATTTGGGAATTTTATTTTTTGGCTTTGATGTCTACTATAGTAAATCTTATCGAGTGTAAGTAGTAATGTCTGTTAGGTGACAGGCAGCCTGCGTGTCGCAATGGGATTATTTTGTATAAAATTTCTCTTTTTCTTCTCTAAAACTTGATCGGTGCAAGGTTGCTGAATTTTCAACAACTGTAATGTCCAAGAAGATTTTATTTTCTCAAATTCATATTTAACATTGTCTATGTTGAATTACTGCTGCCAGAGATATTGAAAAAGGGGAGAAAATGTTGATACCCAATTTTAACATTGTACCTTGAGGTTGATGTATTTACCTGCCACAGTAATTTTTGCTTTTAGTTTCTATTCTTTGCATGGGATGCATCAATGATCATTTTGCATTAAAGTTTTGTATTGGGTCATTACAGGAAACATTGGTTTGGATGATGTCACTTTTGCATTTTACTCTGGACGTGTACCACAAATTATGGCCACGAGTAATCTAGTCTCTGTGCTATGCTGCTTGAAAATGTAGTGTTGGAATAAACAAAATCTGTGTGTACTGTGTATTGTTCAAGATTTTTGTAGCTAAATCTGGCAATGATAACATAAAATTTCTTTGCATGACGAAGAACACTGGAAAGTAGATATTTAACTCTTGGATATTTCTTTGTGTACATAATTTAGGTTACATAAGGGTATCCACCCCCTCACATGGGGGTGGGACCCATGTGAATAAAAAATATTTTCTGTAAGTGGGTCCCACCCCTATGTGAGGGGGTGGATACCCATATGCAATCCAAATTATGTCAATGCCCCTAACTCTTTAATACATTTATTTTATATGCATAGCTTTGCATGTATATGAGCCGAAAGAATGAAGATAGGGCTATGTATATTTACTAATTTAATATGGGGACAATGCCTTGAGCACCTAATACTTAATTGGGGAATGGTTTGAGACTTTGAGGAGGTGGGAAGAAAATATCTATAATTTCTTATAACTACAGCTAGAATTATTGGAAGAAAGATATAGAAATGATAGTGGTGAAACTTGTTTGGATTGTATGGACTACTTTTTTTTTGGTAAATATGACACATGCTATTGTTATTTTGACGCTGATGTAAATATGTTATATTCGGATAAAAATATAGATGGATAACTTTTGGAATTGAATAGTGAATCAAGGTAGAAAATTCTTAGTGGTGGTTTTAGGGTCTATAGACCACTAATCTCATGATTTTATTAGAATGACCATCTACATTTAATAAATGGAAACATTTGGCTGTTTTTGTACTATAGAATCAAATGGATGTGTAATATTTTCTATTTCTATTTTTCAAGATCTCAATGAACAATTAATTATACTATGAATTTTTTTTTTTATAATATAAGTCATTTTTTTATACTGGGTGATAGAATATGCAATTCATACAATATGTATCAATAAAACATCCTTCCATCTCAGTGTGTGTTTATAATATTGGTTTGGAAAAAGTGACTATTGTTATAGCGTGTCATTTCCTATTGTGATGAAAAAAATATTATATTCTCACATTTCTCCTAAGTTCTTCTGGAGTATTATTTAATTGTCATTTTATTGATGATATATGTAGGATCCAACAATACCATTCCACTTTCATCACCGTGGCATCTGCCAAAGCCCGGAGAGAATAAGACTGGAGCAGTAACTGGGGTTCGTCATTATTTATTTTGTTGTTGTTTTGAAATTGGCCTTGCTGTTTCTTTCATTGAAATAGAATGTGAACAATTGGCTTAATCGGTCTAAGGATGTTTGGAAAGACCTTCTCATAGAATTTTTCAATATCTGCAGTCATTTATTATTTTTGGTACAGGAAAGCCAATTTACTCCACTTCCAAGCCATGCCAATTCTGTGGTTATTCCGAAATCACCTGAAACAGGTGAGAATTTGCATAATAACCATAAGAAGAAAGATGTTTTCCGACCATCTGTCCTGGATATGGAATCTGGTCGTCGTGACCGCTGGCGTGATGAAGAAAGGGACACCAATTCCTCTGTCCGTAAAGATCGATGGAGGGAGGGGGATAAAGAGCTCTACGACAACCGCAAGGTGGATCGCTGGAATGGCTCATCTGGACGACACCATGGAGAGGCCCGTCGTGCCCCAGGGGAGAGATGGGCTGATTCTGGAAACAGAGAAAGCAGTCAGGATCAACGTAGCAAATGGAGCACTCGCTGGGGGCCTGATGGGATAGAGACAGATACTATGCATGAGACGTGGGGGGACTCTTACAAGGAATCCGACAAGCTGTTTGATAAAGGACCATCCCATGGGAAGGATGAGAAGGATGTGGACCACTATCGACCTTGGAGATCTAACACTTCATACAGCCAAGGCAGAGAGGAGCCTTCGCACCAGGCATTGACCCCAAACAAACAGGTTTCTACATTTACGCATGGTCGCGGACGTGGAGAAAATCTTGCTCCAACCTTTTCTCTTGGTAGGGGAAGGATTAGATCTGGAGGGGGCTCTGTCTCCAATACTTATATTCCTCCGCAACCAGTTGGATCTTTTCTAGAAAAGGTTGAAAGTGGCTTTGAAGAGCATTCTCCTTTAAGATATGACCGGACAAAATTGCTTAATGTGTACAGGATAACTGATATGAGATCCTTTGCAAAGCTTTTAGGGGAGGTTGATCAAGTTCCTTCCCTCACTCTGGAAGAACCTTTAGAACCTCTAGCTTTTTGCACCCCTACTCCTGAAGAAGTGGTAAACAATATCATCTGCTGTTTAAGAAATTCAGTTGGTGTCCACTTGGAAATTAAATTGATTGCTTGTGCATGTTTAGGTTACCTTGAAGGGAATTGATGAAGGAGAAATCGTTAGTGTCACTCCGCAGATCACTAAAGAGGGATTGGTTGGCCGAACCACAACTGATTCTGTGCAGACAAGAGGAAGCAGGCTCGGTATTGTTATATTTGAATTTGAACATATTTCCACGTCCCCAGTCAAATTTTCTTCTTGTGATTGAAACATTGGCACATTTTGATCTGAATTGGTTTTAATTTGTGTGTATAGGTAGTAGAAATGATTTGCCCCTTGCACTTTATGATCCTAAAAGTGAAAGTGTGGACAATATCGAAGGTGCTTATTCAAATTATTCAGAAAGCTTGTCCCACGAGAAGCAGATGTATTCTTGGCCAAATGCGAAAGTGAAGACAATGCAGGATTATCAGGCACTTGCCGATCACAAGTTAAATCCTGAAGGTGCATTCCATGATTTAAATTTTCTTGTTTGGGACTGTGCAGGATAACTTCGGCCCGAGATGGTGAAATCATAATCATAATAATTCAAAGGGGAACAGTGAAGTCACAGAAATGACTTCTTAGATAATATAACAGTTGAATTCCTATCAATCAAATTGTTCCATTCAACATCTTGTGGTTTATGATATCTGTATTTTGGGATCTTGTTGATCTTACATTTAAGATTTTATTTCTCGTTGCCTTTTAAGATATCTCCTGCATGTGATTCAAGGAAAAACTTCTCGTTTAAAATAAATTTGGCCGGCATCTCCTGCTTGTTATATGCATGACTTGAAATTATAGAACATCAATTTCCATGCTGTTTAGCTTTAATATAATAGCTACAAGTCTAAGAAAAAAAATTATTGCTTCATCTTACAGCCCTGAATGAAGATGGTTCTTATAGGAAGAACGAGGACATGACCACCGCTATAGAATCAACAACGTCAGGAAATTCTTCAATGCTTCATGTGGGTGCTTGGAGGTCTTCATCTTTCTCAGAGCGTGCCAAGTCAACTATTCATGATTGGAGAGAGATATCTAGAGATGTGCAGAAGGATTTGACCAGTGCGTGGGAGGACACTTTGGCAGATCCAACAAATGCCAAAAGAGAAGGATCCAAATTGCAGATGGGTGATGATTCTATTCTGAGAAGGCAACCATCTGCAGTGTTTGACAGGGAGCTGGAATCGTGCAACTTAAGAGTCGGTAGAGGTCTCCTGAATCAAGAAATGATATTCCTGGGCGTTCCACTTTAAGTTCCAGGAAAACGGCCCTCGCTATATTAACCTACCAAACTCCGACCTATAAAACCGTATCTCAACGTTCAAGGCCTGACCAGTGCACCGGCTGACTCCCCATTCTATCTGCTTGGGGATGTGATGCCTCACTTGCGTGCCAAAGTTCAACCACCTCCTGGATTTAGTACACCTAAGTATGATGGAATTCAAGATGTATCTGGTAGGTCTAACTACAACAGCTTTGGGAAGCTTCAATCTGCTTCAGGCGAGTCTGATTCAATAAAGAATGAGCCAAGATATATACATGGTCAGACAACGGAGGCTGAGAACAGGTTTTTGGAGTCACTGATGTCTGGTAGTATGAGTAGTGCCCCGCATGAGAAGTTTGCTCTCTCAGAAGGTTTGTGTCTCTTTTATGTTAAGAAACACCATTTTTGGCTTCTGAATTTCAAGCAGTATTTTATGTCCATCTTCTTAGTCATATGTGAACATTAATTTTGCTTTACAGGTATGCAGGAATACATGGGGATTAATTCAAGTGCATTACCTCCTGTGGGAGCAGGTAGTGGGGATGACTTGCATCTGTTGGCCAAAAAGATGACACTGGAGAGGCAGAGGTCTCTGACAAATCCTTATTCACATTGGCCTGGAAGAGATTTAGCTTCCCATTTGGCAAAGACAGATGTAAATGACTCCTTACTGGCACATTCAAATCTTAATTCGTCAATTTTAGACACTGCTCGTGGACAGCATAATTCTCAGAATGTGGACTTGATGTCTATCCTTCGAGGCTTTCCAGACAGATCTACAAATAATGTCAACAATGGGACTAGTGGTTGGTTGAATGTACCAGTTCAAGGGGGGCTGGGCACACTTCAGGATGAGTTGGACGTGCATCCTGGCCAGAATTTTCCTTCCCAACCTGCATTGGGACCACAACAGCAGAGGCTACAGTCACAGCATTCATTGTTGTCAAATCTATTGTCCCAATCTTTAAATAATCCTTCCAGCATGTTAACTACAGAAAAACTAATCTCTTCTGGTCTCTCTCAAGATCCACAACTGTTAAGTTCGTTGCAACAGCAGAATTTGTTGCACCCACACTCCCACGCCCCAGTTGCATCACAGCAGCTGTCACTCTTAGATAAACTGTTGTTGCTTAAGCAGCAACAAATGCAGGAGGAGCAGGAAGAGTTAGTGCGCCAGCAGCAGCAATTGCTTTCACACGTGCTCTCAGAGAATCACCCCTACCAAAGGTTTGGTGAGTCACCGTTTGTGCAATTGCAAACTTCTGGTCTGTCAACTGGAAATGCTTCTGGTGATCATGCTCAGTTTCAGCAATCACATAAATTGTTTCAGAATGGTTCGCAGGTAGCTCCCACTCTCAATTTGCAAGATAAAAGTGCTTCTAATGTCATTTTGCCTTCTAGTGTTTCCCAGAATAATAGCTCAAATGTTGGTTCTGAAGCCCCTTCTATGCATCTGCCTCGTCAAATTTTTGGGAACATTATCAATCAAAGGAACTGGGTTGCCTCTTTGCCCGAACAAGTTGATAATGTGCAGCAGCAGGAGTTTCCAATGACAACAGCTGTCATGGATACTTTTCCGGGGTTGGAATTGCCAAACAGATATCCATTTGAGCTGAAAGTACATAATGATGAGGCTATTAGAGTTTCATCTTCTGCTGATGCTCCGAGTTTTTCACCTGGGGAACATTCGGGAAAATCAGCTACACTGCAATTGGCAGGAGGTCGTGATAATGAGTTGTTTGTTCCTGAAAATGCAGTTGTAGTGCCCCTGACCACAGCATTGGAACCCCAAGATTTAGGAGAAACTCACAATGATTTCCTTGGGGTGAAGGAAGTGAAAAATGCTGAAACACCGGAGGTGAAAAAATCATCTGCCAAGAAGTCAAAAAAGCAGAAGTCTTCGAAGGCGCAATGCTCTGACTCACCAATGGGAGTCTCTAAGACGCAGAAGGCAGAATCATCAGAAATTGAGCTGACAAATATTGATAATGCATTGTCTGAGGTGCATACTGTTGAAGAAGAGACGAAAACTGATAAAGTTACATCTGATGTTGGCAATTTTTTGCTGGCCCAAAACTCATTGCCTGCACATATGTTTGGAGATGAAGGTGAGGCTACCAAGAATAAGGGTCAGACAGGACAAGTTGTATCACAGTTCAATACCCAAGCATATACTGGACAACGAGCCTGGAAGCCAACTCCTGGTTTCAAGCCAAAATCGTTATCAGAAATTCAACAGGAAGAGCAGAAGGGAGCACGAGAAAAAGAACTGGCAGTTTCTGAGATCTCAACATCTCTGAGCTCAATGAGTGTCTCTACTCCTTGGGCTGGGATTGTTGCGAATTCAGATCATGAGGCACTTGGTGAAACATTACAAGATTCTCCCACCAAGTTAATTTTGGGAAAATCTGAGAGTTTCTCACAGCAAAAGAGTCAATTACATGATCTATTTTGGGAAACTCATGTGGCCAAGTCAAGCGAGATTCAGATCTCTGCATCTAGTCTACCTCCTGTATCTCTTATGCATTCTCGAATTGATTCAGTGGATGATGATAGCTTTATTGAGGCTAAAGATACTAAAAAAAGTCGTAAAAAGTCTGCTAAAGCCAAGGGTGCAGTAGCTAAGGTCTCAGTGCCTGCTGCTTCACCGGATTTATCTTTTGGATCAAATTTCATAGACAAAGGCAACAATTCTCATCAGCTACAGCAGAAGGAAATATTATCTGCAGTTCCCTCTGGCCCTTCCTTGGGGGATTTTGTTACCTGGAAGGGGGAGTCAACAAATCCATCCCCTGCTCCTGCCTGGTCCACTGAGTCTGTGAAGTTCCAGAAGCCTACATCATTGAGGGACATCCTTAAGGAACAGCAGAGAACTTCAGTGCCAACACTTCAGAAACCTGCTGTCAACCAACCTGCCCGTGGAGTTGGTCCTTCATTGTCAGTTTCGTCGTCAGTTTCTACCAAAGCTGCATCCTCAATCCAAATTAACTCGTCAGCTTCTTCTCACCCAAAACATAAAGTCGATGATGATCTATTCTGGGGCTCCATAGAGCAACCTAACCATGAGGCTAAGCAGTATGAATCTTTCACTTTTGCAATTCTAACATCTTTTATGAGCATCAAATGATCAAATGACTTGATTTTATCTATCTGAATCTTGTGCTTGCATTGACAACTTAGTTTTTCGTTCTTTCTCCTATAGAAATTCTTTAAAATGTGTTCCGCTTTCATGTGAATTGATGCCATGCTCCCTGATTTATGATTGCTATGTGCATATGTAATTTTCTATAATTTTAGTTATTTGCAAGCGACTTAATTACCGGTAAATATGATTTGGGCAAAAGCTCCTTGCTTATATCATCATGGTAAAATGGGAAAAAAAGGAATCAAAAGAAGAGGCAAACCTGCACCTTCGGAGACGTAATTATAGTTATCTTCTCTAATGGATGAGCTCACGAAGGTATTACAGAATAGGCAAACCTGCACCTTCCTTGAGTCCTTAACCTCCACCCTCCTGTCTCTCTGTCAAATTGCACAATTCCTGCACGATTTAAAAAAAATATGGAGTAACTTCATAAAAAACTAGATAGATAAGAAAGACAATGGGGCTGCACCTTTGGAGACATAATTATATTTATCTGCTCTAATGGACGATCTCACGAAGGTATTACAGACATGTCTACTGCAGTAATGAATCCCTCCCTTGAGTCCTTAACCTCCACCCTCCTGTCTTTCTGTGAAATTGCACAATTCCTTTACGATCTAAAAAAAACATGGAGTAACTTCATAAAAAACTAGATAGATAAGAAAGACAAATGGGGCTCTGTCTTTCTCTGTTATCTTTCTCCCAAACCCTGAAAAGCGTTGGCAATAAAAGCAGTTTAATGACAATATGTTTACATGTTTAGTCATGTATACTTAATTGGAGCAGTTGAAGATGGTGGCTGTGAAGCCCGGTCACTTGCTGCTTGATACGATGACATGGTCGTTTGATGAGTTGGATAAAGTAGTTGGGATTTGGTGCTGAAGGTTGGCACATTGATTGAGGAGCATGGGTTCCCATGCAGGATGGTGAAGGTGGGGTTCCGTTGGAGTGCGGTAGGGAAGAGAGAGAATTTCAAATTTGTTTTGAGAAAAATACCTTCACTTTCTTTATTGTCTTCTTGCCAATTAATAGTGGCTTAATTTCATTGAATCTGAACTTGACGTCTGGCTTTGTTATATGGGATGTTCCTTTGTCGTCTAGCTGTAATGTAACCAAACGTCGGTACTTATATTTGGATTATAAGCTAAAGATCTTCAAGCCACCATGGTGTTGGTGCAATATTTTGTCTGACTTCTCTTTTTAAAATTCAGGACAAGATATTTTTAACTTTCTAATTGTGTTGGACAAGTTAGGAAATGTCTCGAGTTTGTTAAGTTGCTCTTTCTATGACCCACAGATCAGATTTTCCTCAACTTGGAAGCCAAGGCAGATGGGGAAGCAAAAGTACTCCAACCAAAGGAACTCCTGAAAAGTCATTGAATCGACAGAAGTCCAGTGGTGGCAGGCCTGGGGAGTATTCACTTTCATCATCTCCTGCCTCTTCTCAGCCATCTTTGAGAGGGAAGAAGGATGCCTCGACTAAGCATTCAGGTAGATCACTATTGGAAAAAAATTGTTTTCTATTTTCTTTCTTAAAAAAAGAATCGGGAGAATGAACCAGCTTCTTTCACCATACTGTTGCAGAGGCAATGGACTTTAAGGAATGGTGTGAGAATGAGTGCTTCAGACTTGTTGGGTCAAAAGGTTTGTATAAATTGCAGTTTCTGAATGATAAGAAAGTATTAATGCTACCATTTCAAGTAAATTGTTTGCTGATCATTTGATCCATTTTTTCTAGATACGAGTTTCTTGGAATTTTGTATAAAGCAATCTAGGGCAGAAGCTGAAATTTTTCTAATAGAGAACCTTGGCACCTTTGATTCCAACCGTGAGTTCATTGACAAGTTTCTAAATTACAAAGATTTTTTGCCTATGGATGTTATTGATATTGCCTTCAAAACACGGAACGATCAACAAGCCACTGCCTCGGGTGTGGGAGATATGACTTCTGTTGGCGTCGGGGGCTCCATCCAAGGTGGTACAGATGCTACCGATGGGGGCCCAAAAGGAGGCAAAAAGAAGGGGAAGAAAGGGAAGAAGGTAAGCCCATCAGTGCTGGGATTCAACGTGGTTAGCAACCGAATAATGATGGGGGAAATTCAGACACTTGATGATTAGGTATGTAGTGGGAAATTGTAAATACTTTTTATTGAGACTCTTTTTAACCGAGGATTTTTTTTTTTTCCTCCATAGAGCAACTACAGCAGTCAATTTGATCTGCTTGAGCAATTTTGTTAAGTTGCCTTAGCTGTAGGTTTAATATACTGACCGAAGAATTCGAGGTTTAATTGGATTCATGTATCTCTTGTTATTTGAATCAAGTTAGATTTTTTTTTTTGGTTTAAATTTAGAGTTACAATGGACAGGCTAAACTTCATAGTGCGTGATGAAATTGTTCATTAGAATAGATTTTTTATTTTTTGAGTCATTCAAAAATTTCAAGAACTGTGGATATGAATAATAGAGTGACTTGAGTTAGTTCAACGGCTAATCTTAGTGCAATTGATTGTCTTTTACTCGAGTTTGGGACGGGGTAAGAAAATAAGCGAGAAAACCAATGAACGCTTTAAAAAGTTTCTGCAATTTTCGAAATATATTTATAGGCTGCTTGTTGAGCGTCTCTTTGATATGATTCAAATTTAGAAATTCCTATTAGTTTGAAAGTCCAATACCGTATATCAGGAGCTAAATGTGAAATTACCATGTAGTTCCTGATTTCTTGTTCTCAACGGACGATAGGGTGTAGCTGTTTTGATATATTTGGATTTTAGAGCACAAGACCATGAAGATTGTTGAAATATGAACCTCCACCTAAACTTCCATCCAAATGCTATGCTGAATTATGTTATAGACTTGAATGAAAAGCAATTTGTCCACTTTTTATAAATAATTTAGAATACTCTTTCTTGAATACTACTTGCACAACAATTATCTCATTAAAATCTTCTTTTGTAAAAACTCAATAATATACGAACACCAAATGTAAAAACAGAAAGTACAAAAGAATTAAAATTATCAAAAATATTACTTCATTAAATCATTATCAAGAAAATCTGATGCAACAAAGCCCTTGTTTGCCCCCCATTATATCACATTCCATTACATTAATTTTTTCTCTCTCTTCATCTCAACCATCCATTCATCAAATAAAATAATAATATACACAAATCAAAAACTTTTCAACCACACATCTCCCATCAATCACTATTCTAAAAATTATTTACCCCCAAAAATTTAAATTAATGGGGGGCAAACAGGGGCAAAACCAGAATAACACTCAAACAAAATGTCTACTCCAACTCCCACTAGTCTCGATCAATATAAATTACTTATATCGAGCCATCCATCTTTCGTGCGCTACACAGTACGGTGTCATGGATAATTTTGTTGAGAACATGGCTAGATCGTAAACTTTGTATTGTTGTGCATCAACCACTTCTAAAAATAGGATTATAGAAATCACTGAAATATCTTTGCCTTCAACGAAATGTAGAAATATTGTTGAGCGTCTCTTTGATATGATTCAAATTTAGAAATTCCTATTAGTTTGAAAGTCCAATACCGTATATCAGGAGCTAAATGTGAAATTACCATGTAGTTCCTGATTTCTTGTTCTCAACGGACGATAGGGTGTAGTTGTTTTGATATATTTGGATTTTAGAGCACAAGACCATGAAGATTGTTGAAATATGAACCTCCACCTAAACTTCCATCCAAATGCTATGCTGAATTATGTTATAGACTTGAATGAACAGCAATTTGTCCACTTTTTATAAATAATTTAGAACTCTTTCTTGAATACTACTTGCACAACAATTATCTCATTAAAATCTTCTTTTGTAAAAATTCAATAATACACAAACACCAAATGTAAAAACAGAAAGTACAAAAGAATTAAAATTATCAAAAATATTACTTCATTAAATCATTATCAAGAAAATCTGATGTGGCAAAATCAGAATAAAGGTAAAAATAAAATAAAAAATTGTCTACTGTAACTCCCACTAATCTCAATCGATATAAATATTTATATCGAGCCATCCATCTTTCGTGCGCTACACAGTACGGTGGCCGGGATAATTTTGTTGAGAACATGGCTAGATCGTAGACTTTGTATTGTTGTGCATCAACCACTTCTAAAAATAGGATTATAGAAATCACTGAAATATCTTGTGTACTAAGAAACGGAAGTTGCTTTACATCTTTAGATGCCAACTGATAAGATTTTGGATAAATGTCCCAACATGCTTAGTAGAAGCATTATTACAGGTAATAGATCATTTGAGAGAGAGAGAGGAGATTGAATTTCGAGGTGAAAAAAAGTGATTTGTATCATGATGAGAATAAAAACAGATACGGCAATGGGTAAATATATTTTACATTGTAAACTCAATTTTCAATTTGTTTGAACCACACAATATTCAATAAAATGATATTAGACACAAATCCAAAAATTTTTCTTCTTTTTTAACCATATATTTTTCATCACATCATTATTTCAAATACATTCTTTCTTTCCTTAATGAATGCACATCAAACATGAGCTTAGTGTATTTTCATCACTTGTTCAAATGTAACAGTCAAAACTTTTGAAACGGACTGGTCAAGTCAAAGTGAAAATTTTCAACTTCACATAATTTGCCATAAACAATTCAAGTTCTTAAGATCCATTTGAATGGTTTAAATTCCTTAAAAATACATATCCAAAAAATTCAATTTCTACTGTTTGGATATGAAAGTGAAAATTGAATTCAAATTTCAAACTACAACTACTTTAAACTTATTTTTTTACCAATTTAATGAAAAATACGTTCCGAATACTTGAATTTTTATTTTCTAACTTACATGAAAAGCTTTTCTACATTTATCAATCAAACAATCCTTAGTGTCAATTTATCTTCACTGGGAGTAGTTGAATCAATTTTGTCAGAAATCTGTCAATCTTGTACAAAATGAATGTACAAGCAAGTCAATTCGAGTTGAATATACCCTTCAGCGTATTATATTTCAGCTTTATTTTTCCCTTTTAAAAAACAACAGGAAAAAAATAGAGATGCTAGAAAAACTCAGCTCCCTCAGAACACATTTATATTTTCAACACCAACATTCAGACAAGGCTGAAACATAAGTATTATTTATTTTCCATCACTGGGAGCTTTTTAGATGTAGAACAAAGCAACAAACGTAGGAGAAAATACAGAGTTCAAAACACATTTCTTGAAATGAGAGCCACAGCTTTTATCAACTACTCATCCACACATTTCATCAATTTTTACTAAAAATTTGCTTTTATCAAACAACCCCAAGGGCCTAGAAGAACAAACAAAGCTAATTTCACAATATCAGAATATAAATACAGGGATTGTACTTGAAAACACATGACCCATAAGATGACTCATTTCTTAATAAACCATTGATCAGATAATTGTAGTCTGGAAGCATTTTTTGATCGTCATTTATTTATCCAAATCGGCTATTCCTCATCTCAATGATTTAAAAAAACCAGAGAATTTAGTGCATAAATATAGGAATTTGTGTATAAATTGAAAAAGAAAATGTAGTGAGATGGGCTCAGAAGGATCCATTGGTTTATTATAATCAAAGGAAAATCCGTCAGAAAATAGGTAGTTTTCAACATCACAGCCCAACTCAGCTTCACCAAACTACAATAACTAAAAGAATTCATAAAACTTTTAACAAAAATGTGGCTATTGTTTAAAAGAATAATTAATGTAGCTCAGAACTCGAATCACAGATCATGAACTAAGTTTCATTTGTCCAGACATAATTGAAAAAGTTCATCACAGCATCACAAAAATTTAAAATTTAGTTGAAAATCAAAGAATTTGTTTATAATTTGAGAATCTCAGATACATTCCAAAAGAGGAATTCTGCAGACATTCAACACGGCATCAGATTCAGTCCGCCCGTCTGCTTTTTAACATCATTGAGGAAAACTTTAAACTTCAAACAAAAGAAAAGCATTTGAATCATTATTTCAAAAACAGAAGGCATCAGATAATAAGCGGAGTTATATAGTCTACACAGTAATTCAGTGTGTAGGATAAGATTTAACATTCTTCATTTGCCACTTTTAACAAAAAAAATAATAAATTAAAATCTCGGAAGGTCCATTTGACACCAAGGCAATAAAAAATTGTGTGCAGTGGGCTGGTAAGCCATCCTATTCAATTTATGCATCTGTTATATCTCCCAGTACACACATAACATCATGGACAAGGAGAGGGTAAAGCAGATGCATTATTAACGCATTATTCATAAACAAAAATCTCACCAGAAAAAAAAAATCATTATCCACGACACCAACGAGGAAAAGATCAGATAATTCGGGAAGAGAAGAGAAACCAAATTGACATTACAAGCAAAGAATCAAAGAATTTGGCGAAGATAAACGAAAGATGAAAAACCTAATTGAGTTGTGAGAAACTTGTAGCGATGGATCTGAGAGGCGGCTGCTGGGTTGTTTAAATAGAGATTTGCAGAGCTAGGGTTTCGAGGTCGGCGTGTTCTTTATACACAAACTTTTGGAAACTCAAAACGGTGACGGAATATAAAGGATTTTTATTCGGGAAATAGCATCAATGGTCCCTATCTTATATGTCTCCTTTGTAATTGGTCCGTGACCTTCAAATCTTGACGAAAAACTTCCAACCTCATACTTTTGTACGAAAATTGTCCTTTTAGACATTTGGTAAATATCAAAAAGACTGAAATGCCCTACTAAAAATAAATAAATAAATTGAACTACAATTTTACCAACCCCATCCACCTCTGTTATTACAACCACCGGCACATCTTCCACCACCGTGACAGCCCAAAGCTACCACAAAATATAATGGTTGTGCTACATGTACATAATATGTTTAAATAATGATTTACATACACATAATATGGTAAAATATGATTGAGTCATGATTTTTCAACCAATTTAAAAAGAAAAAAACTTCCTCCTCTCTTTTTGACACTTCGTCTATTTGCAAACTATTATTTAATTGTTTATGTACAAGTAGCATTATTCAAAATCTAATTACTAATTGTCAAGATCTACAATGTCGGCCCCATATTTCACCACAAAACTCAACTCATATTCAGCTCGC